CAAATTATGCGTTGTCAGCTGACAATCTTCTTAAAATGGCCTTGATTCTACTGAGAGCTAGAGCAAACATTCCAGTGGTTATATGTGGAGAAGCAGGTTGTGGAAAGGTATTTTGGAATTAAATCTTGATGAAAGTCTTTAATAAAATTTTAATTAAAATATTGAATTAAAATCTTGGAATAAAATCTTCCTAATGATTTTTTAACTATTATAATATTTTCTAAAAGACAAGCCTTATTGGCTTTTTAGCAGCCGTTGTGGAAGTCAAATTTAGGGTACTTTCACTTCACGCCGGTGTACAAGAAGATCAAATTCATGAATTTATGGAAACAAGCACTCAACATGCCAAGAATGGCCAAGTATGGTTATTCTTTGATGAAATCAACACATGCAATCACATTGGACTCCTTGCAGATCTAATAGCTCATAGAATTCTGTCGGGCAGACCGATACATTGGAATATTCGTTTGTTTGCTGCATGTAATCCTTATCGGCTTCGCAAAAAAAGTGAAAGTAGTGTAGGTTTAGAAAAAAATTACCAAGAACAGAGTAAATTGGTCTACCAAGTACACCCTCTGCCCAATCAAATTTTAGATTATGTATGGGATTATGGCATTCTCAAGCCTGAGGATGAAAGGGTACGTATGCTTTCTTAATTTTCCACTACTTTCTGATCTTGACTATTTCTTGACTTTTACTAATGAACAAATTATTTATAATTTAATCAGGAATATATTAAGATAATGGTAAAAAGTCAGATAGGTATATATCCAGTACTCGTAGATCTCCTTAGTGAGTCACAGAAATTCATTCGCAATGTTGAAGAACTATACACTGTAAGTTTGCGAGATGTAAAAAGGGCGATCAAACTGGTTAAATGGTTTCAAAAGAGCCTAAAAGAACGATCACCAGTCATACGAGCTAATAGAATTTCTCTCTTTATGAAACATTGGAGCTATCCACCAAAAGACAATAAAAAATTGATACGCTGTAGTTTTGTTTTATCACTTGGACTTTGTTATCAATCACGTTTATATGATCAAGATTTACGAAAAAAATATCGAGAATGCATGTCACGGGTCTTTAAAGAACATAGGGAGAAACTTA